GTTTGGCGGAGCAGGGAGGGACGGAGGCTGCCGCTCCCCGCGGGTCCGTCCCCCCCTCCCCTTTCCCCATCTCCTTGCCCCCCATCACCCCTTCGCCCCCATCCCCGCTTCGGGGGGCAAAATCAAAGCTCTGGGCTTTATCCGCTGGAACCCACATGGAAAATCAACCGTCGGCTCCATTTGATCTCTGGTCGGGATTCAGAGCATCAATCTATTTACGTTATTACCCTTTCTAAAAGTCAATCAATAGATAATAAGGTGGGAATAATGGCCAGGAGTTAAAAACCCCCATTCACGGCTGAGGATTAGGGTTATTGAAGGGCAATTGCTTCGAAATTGTTTCAATCCGGTGTTAGCGATGCCGCGATTCGCTCGCTGGCTTACCCACAAGGCTGCCGGCCGCCCCCAAATGACACATATCTCATGCAAACCCCACGCTGGCCCCCCCCAAAGCTGTTTGCACAGCAAACTGCAATTGTATGGGAGATTAACGGGGCTTTGCGGGGTTGGGGGGGAGGCCAGCAAGCCTTGTTGACAAATAAGGGTGGAAATCCGTCGCCATCAATTCTGCGGGTGCCTCTGGATTTGGCAATGACACTGCTTTTGACTTTCCCGGCTGGGCAGATGGATGGGGGTTTTGACTCGCTCCCAGATTTTGGGGGCAGATGGTAGCGCGAAGGGGGGACCGGAGAGATGCTGGTGGCCCTGGGGATGCTGCAAACCTCCTGCACCGGGTTCCAGCCAGGGATAAATTGGAGGAGAGATGCTGTCGCGGGGCACGTTTGGCCCTGCTGCCCCATGACCAGCACGTGGAGGAGCACAAACCTCAACCTTCCCGTAGCCCTTGGTTGATGCTGCCCCATGGGATGGTGGGGACGGGCATGGCCTTACAGTTCTGCCCAGGGGTGTGCCCTTTTAGGGCTGATTAATAGGTTTTTGAGGCTGGTTGGAGCCTGCATGTGTTCTCCCAGCTAGCAATGGCCTGAATTTGGCCAGCTCACCATAGGGGTCAGCCAACAAGTGGGGTGGTCCGGATGGAGCCATCCCCGCAGCGTTCACACGGCTTGGCTGAAGTCACACAGCTTGGATCCAGCTCCAGGGCAGATTTCAGCCCCTAGAAACACGGACGGCCTGGGGCACAGCAGGGCAGTGATGCTGTCCTTGGTCTGCCCTTGGCTTGCTTGCACGCATGGTGGGACCGTGCTTGGCTTTCTCCTGGAGGTGGTCCTCATCATCATCCAAAAGCTCAGCCAGAGCTTGCATGGCCAACGGTGGCACCTGTGCATGGAGAGGAGACAGGTTGTCACCCTCCACTGGGACCCTCTTT